TTACAGAAAATGTAAATTTTTTGTGATTTGTATCGTTATCGGGAGGATAGATGTCTTATATCGGGATATGAGATTGTGGTCATATCGCACAGCCCTAGACACTAGGAAACCTTGCCAAGGTTAAACTCTTGTTATACATTGGAAAATAATCACAATACAACCAATTGATTCAAGTCCAGTATTGCAGAGTTATTTGCAAACCTTCGCCTGTCTATCTATCTGAGTGATTACAGTCAGGTTGAGTTAGGCTCTGAGTGTTTCGAGACAGGTTGCCTCCCACGTGGTGAACAGTCATGTTGCACAAAGATTGAAAGTGGTCACCCAGAGGTTGAGGTTTTTCTGCTTCTAGTTATTGCTACAACTTGTTGCAGTCGATCTCTAACAGCAAAAAAATCAACAAAATGTCAATGCAGCCACCGCACAACCACATTTTTCTTCGTGGTCAAGACGTTGCTGTTGTAATTTTACTGTAATGTGGCTGAGCCATTACTTATTAATTACCTAAATTAGTTAAGCAATAATATGTGAGAATAGTTCATACTTTCTAAAACTGCATCCCTGTGGCCTAATCCCTACATGCAAACATACTGTAGCTAGAGAGTCAATGTGGCAAAGAGAGCTATACATGTAGATTTATCCACCATTTAAATACTCTGTTACTACGTTATGTTAATGCGATAATTTCAAATCATTAATTGGGCAGGAAAGGTGTAGAAGCAGGTGTGTAAGAGAAAAATTATTTCAGTCTGACGGCAGTCTAAAGAGACAGCAGATTGGACAGACAGATGATAGCATATGGACGAAGAAAGATAGAAAACTAATTAAAAAAAGGAGAGTTAGGTTGGGTGTTGGTTCCTCTAGGAGTAATGGTCCCAGGTGTGTGAGATGAGGGGAAACAGGAAGGATGAGGGAAGGCGAAGGAATCTAGGTCCCCATATGCTCTATGAAGTCTGTCTTTCCTTCGCTCTCTTTCATCCCCTTTCATTTCAGGCTTTGCACAGACTCAGTGAGACATGCTGATCTTAGATCGCCTTTGTGTATCCATTTGTGCATCTTCCTCGCCGTTCTGCCTCTCAGCATCTTTACTAGCTCTTATAGTGCACTGCAGGTTAAGTGAGGTGACAGTGAAACTGAGTGGGTGGTGGTTTGGCGATGGAGTGACTGCGTGGCTGTTTGCATATGTTTTTGTGTGGATTTCAGTAAGCTTTGATGATTTGTCCTCGCAGTCTAAGGTGTGTTTGGTGAGGATTCTATTCGCTGTTCTCTTTGTGGATATGGATTTCAGCATTTGTTTCTCACATTCTCTTGTTTTTTCCCTATTTAACTTGTCTGGTTGCTGAACTGGTTCTTTGCAGGGTTCTACTTTGTTGCACAGATTTGCGTGTACGGCGCAAGGCCACGTATCCCCACCGGTGTTTCCTTCCTTGACCACAGCGCAGAAACATGCCACGGATTGAAATGACAAGTCGTCTAAAAATAGCCACTAAACTCACTCACCCTTCCCTTAAAGCAGCCCCACTCTGGCCGGATGATCACCTCCCCAATCACTGATCTCTCCACCCTAGCATGAAATGCAGGCTGCTCCCACTGTACATTCCACCCAGAGGAATGAGCCAACTCCCTTGTAAATTAGAGAGAGGGGGATTGTCATTGTTTTCTGCCAAACAAAGGCAGCAAGCAAACCGGAGCAGAACAGCTTCTAACCACTGGTTAGTTTGGCTTAGCAGCCAAGGGGGGCGGCTGCTGCGTCACAAGGTTGGAGTGCCTCAAGGATTCGTCGCAGGGCCCCTTATCACTTTCTTTTTTTTCCTGCCATCTCAATTCTCTATTATTGTGGGCATGTAAGTGTGCCCATGTGCAGGCCCTCAGGCTGTTGTCAGGCAGATCATGGGAAATGTCGGGAGCTAGCCTGGCTGTGTGCATTTACCTACGTATCTCTGTTCCCTAAAGAAGAAAAAGAAAGAAAGCAGAAGGAAAGAAGTGAGACTAGGGAATCAGGAGCAGGCTTACAACAGAGGAATGGAGTGAATTCCTTAACGTGTATAAAACATGTCCGTAGGGGGAATTACAAGCACAGCAAGATTCACAGACTTCCAACTTCTTAAAACAACACTCGCTGTCCCACACCCCCAACCCCCTCCTTCGCCATTCTCAGCCTGCACTCCACTACCACCCCCTCCACCCCCTGCTCCTTGCCCCTGGAGTAGTTAAAGGCAAGGGATAATCTGTGGAGGAATTCCAAAAGGCAGGAATCCAGGGATTATCCAAAGGAAGAAAATGGTAGATGATGGAATTATTTAGGGTTTACCTGAAATCATTGCTCGGGTTTTGTGCTTTTGAGATGGAAATTGGTAAAGGCTTGACTGATTTTTATTTTGAAAATTAAATGCATTTAGAGCTTTGGCTGTGTTAAAGTCAACGTTTGTGGGGTTTTAAGAGTTTCCTAATGCAGACAGTAGGCAGATTAATTTAAGGAGAGTGAAAATCATTGTTTGTTGCTGGTGGATTTTTTTTAAACACTAATGATAGAGGTAATAAAACTGTGGGACATTCTTACTAGTTTCATTGATTTTTTTTAAAAACAACTTTCTTCCAACTTATTTAAGTCTCCAGGTTACTTAGTCTGACACATTATTAGTATTAAATAGTTGCACAATATAAATAATCTGATATTCTGTGTGGGCTCGTTTTCTTCTGTTGCTCCATTTTTCTCTGAGCCACCAGTGGACTGGCAGCAAGCACAAAGGAATTGTGGGAATTGTTATTGAATTTAAGGCTAATTGCACTGAAATGATAACAATTTGGTTTTGACGTACCGTGGCTTCGCAAAATAACACTGTTTTCAAAGCCGTCACGCGAGTGCTATTTATGCAAAATAATTTATCGCACATACAGTTTTTTTTCATTGCATGTCACTGTAGAGCTCTACAGGACCAATTGAATTAACTGAGAAGTGTTTTAATAAACTGGAAATTGTATAATGAGTTAGTTTTTGACGTGCTAGTCCTACCATGGCAAATTTGTTGCCTTCACCCTTTATTTCAGTGCAGATCTTTGGGGTTTGGAAACTGTGGAAAGTGAAACTCAGGCTGTATCTGTTCAAAGCTCTCTGTGGTGCAGTGAAATAACTTATGCTTTCTATTACTTTATTTGACCTCCAGAATTTGGCAGAGAAAAATCGTCCTTGTGTTCCTTATATGGCTACGGTAAATATAGGCTGGCAGCAGAATAGTGTTGTGTTACATTATCTGTGTATGGCTGTTATTGTAAACAGGCTACATCTTTGGGGCTTAGCTCCTCCTGTCCTACTTAGCTGGTCGATAAACAGGCTTTAGCTTTAATTATGTGATGTCTGATATTGCACGTTCTTACATCATGCTGGTGTCTTGTTTATGTGTTTTGTCTGGCCCTGTGTTATTTTGTGCATGTGCGTGTTTGTCCATCACTATTTCTCCGAGCCTCTGCCTGTGCATGCAGTTTGAATATCTGAGGATATAATAACCGTGGGTGTATGTCTGGCAAGTGTAATTGCTGCCACTCTGCACGGCTGGTCAATAGACTAGTACTGTGTGTGTGTGTGTGTGCGTGTGTGTTTTCATATTTACATGGAGAATTACATCAGATCCTTTTTTTAAATATCTAAATGTCAGTACATATTTCCTGCTGTAGTTTCATCTATGTAGTTTTAGTTGAGACATATGATTGTGTGTATGTGTTTTCGTTAATATACATTCAGCACCAACTTTAGGTACAGCGGTAAAATATTATCCACTCATTTCAATTCATTTCAGTTTTATTTATATAGCATCAAATCTCAATAAAAGTCACGTCAGGCAGTTAAAGTAAAGTAAAGACCTAAAATTATATAGAAAAGAACCCACAACAGTCCCATCCCAAGACCCCATGTGAGGAGGCAGTTGGCGACAGTGGGAAGGAAAAACTCCCTTTTAATAGGAAGAAACCTCCTGCTGATGCAGTTCTGTACACCGACACTAGTTACTTTAACGGTAAACAAAATTTGATCACCTTTTTGACAAAATCAACTGAAAATTAGATTTGAAAAGCTCCATAAAGGTGAGTCAGTTGCATTAGATTTGACAGGCATGGCTAATAAAATGTGTTTTTCTCGCACTACTGAAGTATGTTTGAGTGTTACATTTGTTGCATTGTGTTCAATGGCATTATAATAGGCAAATAAATTAATCAGCTTGGAGTTCAATATTTTTTTAGTTAAAAATACTATAAAACTTTAGAAGTCTCTGCCAGGATTATTTCAGGAATATGACAGAAAAAAAGAAAACAGCGTCTGTGATTGGCCAATCTCCCAATCAAAGTCTTCTTCATTAATTCAAACTGATCCGACTTTCCTTTGGAGGATTATCTGATGATGAGTCAACCCGCCATTTTCAGTTTAAGAGTTTACACTTTCAAAGCCGAGGGTGTGATCAGGTGCATGGGTTTTGGGGGACAGGAATGTAACTTCACTCTAAGATGCTGAGGTTTCTGGGAGAGAGCATTCAACACAAACAACCTTGACTGCAACACGTGCCAGCACGCTTCATGAAAATAGTATTTTTATTTCTTTGTCCACCACCTGCCCCGGTTTCCAACTTCCTTGACAATTTGGCCGCTTCCCAGAAGTGTAAAAGTGTGCTCTTCTGACACAGTGGAGGAGAACCAGGATGTATCACAGAGATAAAAGTTCAAGGGGATAGAGCGATACTTCTCCTGAATAATCTGCTCAAAGCAGGAATTGGGTGGGGTGGGGTCAGGGGGGTAAAATATATACAAACGCCTGCAGTTTTGATGCAAAATATTAAGATAAGTGCAAAGTTCAGTATCTACTTACTTTATGTCAAATGGGTGTAACATGCAGTGGAAGTGTTGGTCTGTGTGAAGTGGCTTTTTACTCAGCTCTACTATGTCTGATTTCTATTGGCCAGTGCTGCTGTGGAAATGTGTGAATTATTTGTAATCTCTGTGGTATGCTTGCTTTTCAGGTACAGGCATTTGGCCACCCACTTAGTCCATACACATCCAGAGTGTTCTCAACAGTGGCAGGTAAGATGAACAAGCTTATCCGTGTGTGTGCGTGTGTGTATTTTTACTCTAATAGATTATCGATGCACTGCTGGGTTGGTTGGCTGCAGCAGACAGTGGAAATGGGCCTGGCCTCCCCTGAGGAAACGAGATATCTCACACAGGCACACTACACACAGTAGCTACAGACACAGGCACAGTGTGACTTGCGAGGGAAAAAAAAGCTCTCACGCGCAAGACTTTAAAGCACATTTTGCACACTCACACACACTTACGAACAATTAGACACACCACACACCTGCTGGGTTTTCAGATGAAGCTGAGCTCCATACTGGCTCTAACCGAAGATGAAAGGGGGAGAAGAAGAAAGACAGGCAGGAGAGGAGGGACTAGAGAGAGGGATGGGAAGGTTGAGGAGAAGAGAGGAGGCGGGTAGGGAGCTATAAGACAAAGACAGAAAGCAGATAAAGCAGGAAGAGGAGGGGCATGGATGAAGAGTGATGGCCAACTCTTCCACCTCTCCTCCCTTCTTCCGTCTCACTCTCCTTTGTGAACAGATGGATAGAGGTATCAGATTGTAATGAGAGCCAAAACAGGAAAAAAGGGATAGAAAGACACATATGTACGCTACACACACACACACATGACTGAACACAACACTTTTAACTATGCTGACAGATGCAGTACTTTGCATCCCATGTAGTTTACTGGCTCTACGTTGTCCACAGCCATAATATTTACATGCATTCAGGTCAGATGGGTTCTACAATACAGCGAGTTCACTGTATACAAAACGTTACAAATCTGAGCAGTGCCTAGTGATGATGTTTCTCCTAAATAGACACACAGGGAAGAAGCTAGAGGCTCCAGGCGTGTGATGCATCAGACGAACAGAGGAAAGAAAGAGATGAGGCGAGATGAGCTCTGTACATTTTTACATGCAGAGTTATGAGGGTATGGTGAAGAATCCAAAAGTCACAAGTGTCAGTGAGTTCAACAGCAGGATGTGTTGAGTTCTTCGCGTATCACGGCATACTTCCTCTCTGAGTTGATGGACATTAATAATATTAGTACTGTAACATAACTGTGGCGCGGCTGTGGCTCGGAGGGTAGCATCTACTCACCGTGTGGTTAGCGGGTCGATCCCTGACTGCTTCATCTCAAAGTGTCCTCGGACAAGATGCTGAACCCGATGCACTCATCAGCGTGAGTGTTGGATAGAAAGATTTTGGATAGATTGGGTGATTAGTGTAGAAAACCACTATATAAGAACTCAAACATGACTTAGTTTTGACAGCAGAGGTTGGGAGTCCAGCAATTTATACGCCAAGCAACTTTAGGAATGCTGCTTTATTCAATATTAACACACATTTAAGGGGAACACTAGTGGTTTTTAATCACTTCAGTCATCCGTTAACAGCTTAAACATTAACAATCCTACGAGTCTTTGTGCTGTCAGGTGCAAAACTGTACTCCGTCTCCAACTATGTTTATATCTAACTGTCAATTTAAGGTTTGCAAACTTTTAAACATTCAAACGAAGTGAACTCTCAATAGGATGTTTTCCATCAGGTTTTTGGAAATTGCTGTCGAAGTTGAGCATCCACTAAAAAGCTGGGAAGTGTCTTTCGGCAGCCGATTGGGGTTAGGTTTCCTTGGACATCTTTAGAGGATTTTTCACTGCTCCCAAGCTTTTCCATAACTTTTTTGAAAGAAGTGCCAAAAATGGCCTTTAAAAGCACTTACCGACGGCCTTGCCGAGAGCTGGATTTGAAGATTAATGTCTCTCTCATGTGTGTCGGGTAAATGGCCGCAGGCAGCAGCTGCTTAGCTTAGCACAAAGCCTGTAAACAGACATCCTGAAGCCTTGTCATCGCTGTGCTTTTGGATGTCATCCAGTTTAGTTTTCAGGAAGCTACTGTTACAGGGAAAGGAAAAGTGTGGCACATAACCCTTTGGAAAACCACAACTTGTCAGTTGCACTCTTCTTCTGATCTAACTCTTGGCAAGGAAGCAGGTCTTTCTTAAAGAGCAGTATTGTAGTCGTACAGAAAGAGACATGCGTCTTCGCAGAGAAGGGTCGTTTTAGCTCTGTGTGTGTGTGAGTGTGCGTTGACGCTTATTGTGGTGCCTTTGCATCTGCTCACAGGGTAAATCAGTTACTTTTCTTAGTGACTGCTAAACGCACTGGTAATCCTTCCAGTTGAACTTGTTGTGGCAAAGAATCAACAGCAGAAGAAGAGTGCAACACATTTCAGGGAAACAAAGAGGGAGGGGGTGCAGGGAGAGGCAAAGCCTAAACTAGTATTAAATGAACACAGCTGTGCCTCGTTAAACATTAATTGGCAATTAATCAGACCCCACCCCCCCATCCCCAGTTGATTATATCTTTATATCTTTAAAAAAAAAAAGGGAGCGAGAGAGAGAATAAAGTAAATTATTCACCAGCATCAGGAAAATCTGTTCCATCACAATCTCTCCGTCTCCCTCCCTGCTTCTTCTCTCCTCCATCTTCTTGCCCGTCTCCTCCCTCTCTGTGCTTCTTTCATTTCATTAATATAGTTTTATGCCTTTATCTGCGCTTCCTTCCCCTCATCCGTCTATAGTTCATCCAAAGATGGAAAACGAGGGAGCGAAAGAGAGATGTCATAGAACGGAGGAAGTGCCAGAGGGGGCGAAGGATGGAAGACGGGGAGGAAGGAGAGGCCCCCGGATGTAGGATTACAACAGGGAGAGCGGGACTGTTAGTTAACTGTGTGTGTGGATACATCCTCACTTGTTGATTTCTTGGTCTTGAGGTTATAAAACCTTGCCGAGTGAATAGAGTAGCCATAGCATAGCCAACATCTGGCAGCAGTGAACAGACGCAGCGGAGTTTTAGCTGATTACATTGTAGCTCCTCCCCCTTCTGCTGTGTTGATACAGCTAGAGCCAGAATTTGCTGTCCTGACCTAGAAATTTTACTTCTGTTATTCATCTGACAGCAAAGAAAACATGCATGCTGGTTATTTTGCAGTAGCCATTGATGCTTCTGTCCTTTAATCTGCCGCTTCTGAATGTTTCAGCTTCATGTCCGAACGCACACCCTGCTCACTTTCATGTATTCCCGCGTGGACCGACCCAGTAACTTTAACCCAGCACATGATGGATGATGTTACAGTGACGACCAGGAGACTCATGTCTCTACTGTGTGACCTCTTAAAGACACGGTTTAGGAAGGCAACACGTGCATTTGTGCATGGAGGAAGATAGTGTTAACTTTATTGATTATTTACAGCAGGGGTGTCAAACATAAGGCTCTGGGGCCAGATTCGGCCCAGCAAAGACTCCAAACTGGCCCACTGGACGGCTTTGGAAAGTGCGATTGATGGCCTAAATTTTGGACTTTGGACTGTTTTCATGTTTTGACCCAAAGCCCAAAGAGTTGCGCTGAGATATTTCTCTCGTTTCCTTTTTCTTACCACAATAGAAAAACTGTGCAAAGGCTGAAATTTGCACTGTAAAGGTATAGTTGCACATCTTCACTCTGACAGGGGAATTGGTCCAGGTGACTGAAGATCAAAGTGGGTCATAGGTCTGATTTTGGTGATTTATAGTAAACAGAAACAGGACTCTGACAGTTGAGCTGTTTTTTAAAACCTGCAGTTCCATGATTACTGTTACTAAACTAAAGTGTGTGAATGCATTCCTGTAATTACATATCGCATGTGGCAGAGTAAGTTTGTGGACAGAACGACATCAATTCATCAAACTGACGAGGCGTCCGCGCCTGAAAAGTGCGAAACTTCTGACCCCTAACCTGCATGAGTCAGGAAGGACAGGTTTTGAGATGCTGAACCGACAAAAACTTGAAACACGAAACCAGCCGGTGTTTGATATTCATCCACTTTGGAGACAGAAAAAAGAAAAAGCTGAAATTTTGGTCTGAGGCAGAGAGAAAACGTGTATTTTCAAATGCTCCCAGGCAGATGTACTCTCAGAGCAACCTGCGAACGATGTTGAGGTTCATATGCAGCATATGTGGCCGCAGGCACTTTCTGTTCCTACTGTAAAGTGTTTGAAGGCGAACTGTGCGCACCGTGTGCGTGCAGTAAACCCAGTCTGTCCTGCAGATCCAGTGCTTCAGGCTGTTCTGCCCAGTGCTACAAGCTTATATAACAGTACTGATTACAGCAGCAAGAATAACCTGCCTTGCACTCACTGACACACTTTTTTTTTTCCCCGCCTCCCCTCGATCTGTCGCTATCTCCTCATCCCAGCTCACACTTGTTTCCTCTCTCCCACAACTAGGCTATTTCCATCTCACTCAATTAAATGATCTCTCAAACATGCTCTCTCTGTTTCCCTCTGTGTCTTTTCATTATCTGACGCTGCTTCCTTTCTCTTTGCTCTCTTTATTGGTGTCACTTTGGCTACATCCCAAAATTCACGGCTATTATTCACCCTTTCTCCACTCATACCTCTATTTCTCGCTTCTTTGCAGTCTTCTCTAACGGTTGCCGTCTATCTGCCCTCAGAATCTCAGTCTCTTTCTCTCGCGCTTTCACTCCGTCTGGGCTTCGGCTCAATAATTACAAATGCTATGAATATTGGCTAGAGGCCAAATCAGCACAGCAATCAATACAGTGAGAGAATTATGTAACGCGGCACCCAACTGACTGGTCGTCTCTCCTTGTTCCTTGCTCGGTAGTTTCCTCTTTTGCTCCCTACCCTCTGCCATTGTCTCACCTTGTTTACTTCCCTTTATTTGCTTTTGCCCTCATTTAACCAACTGCATTGTCAGTCGTATTTATCAGCAGGTTCAGTTTTAGGCTGAAAGCTGCACTGGTGTGCAGGCTTACGCTGTTGTCACATCTGAATAACTGCCAAGAATCAAAGTCTAAATATGATTTTTTAAAATATAATTCGATCTTTAACCTGGTAGGTGTGTGAGATGGAAAATAAAGTTTTTAGAAACAACACAAGGGGACGCACTCTGGAGTTTAGTCTGTGTAAAGGCTCATTTGTTTGTGATCACTGCC